TTTCTTTGCTCAACTCCAGATTTTGAGCTCTAGTGGATCTACATTGTTGAGGAAAAAGATTTATATAGAGATTCACAAGAAATTTTTTTTTTTTGTTAAGTGGGCCATTCTTCTTTTCTTCTGGGCATCTTCAATTTCGGATTCTTTGCAAAGATATTATAGAAATTGTTTCTTCTTTCCTTAAAAGTTCGAAAGCTTTGTGTTGCAGCCGTAATTATGTCTCTCTCCTTTCTTTAATCTAAAAGTTTATCAGTTAGTTTTAGAATTGGACCAAGATTCATGATTTGTTGGCTAATATATATTTATATTTGTGAAGTACTCTGTGTTTTAGCTTTCGATCTTAGAGCTGTTTTTATGTATGTTATGTTACAGACGCCATTGTACAGAAGACTTTGGGGACCAACGAGGCATGTGGAGCCATTACTTCCAGATGCTAATCCAAGAGGTTTCTATTCAGGTTTGCTTCTTCCTACATTGTCGGATCTGCAGCTGAATCTTTGAGATTGTGCCCTTCTAGATAGGTGTCTTTTGATAAGTTGAACTAGATAAGTGTTCTGTATTACTTATGTATCCTTTGAATTATGAGTCTCATTGTGTTTATCTGGTTTGTAATTTGGGTATGACAGATCCTCCGGCAAGGACAAACGGTTTTGTTTTCGTTAGAATACAAGGTGGTTTTCATGAGATTAGAAATTCGGTAAGAAAGAAAATTCAACACATCATCTTGACATTCAATAAAGAGTAAGTGACTCTTCTCATGGCTTTTACTTTTGGTCATTGTTTTTTTTAGATTCCTGACATTGTCGCCGTTTCTCGGCTTCTTAACGCCACTCTGGTTATTCCTGAGATCCAATCAACAACCAGCAGCAAAGGGATTAGGTTGGGACTCAAAAACTTATACTTTATGATTGATGTTGTTGATTAGGTTTCTTTGCGTTAGTTTCATCCATCTTTTTTTTTGTTTACGAGCAGTTCACAGTTCAAGAGCTTTGCATATTTGTACAATGAAGAACACTTCATGGCTTCGATTGCAAATGACGTTAGAGTTGTCAAAACTCTCCCGAAGAATCTGAAACGGGCTAGAAGAAAGAAACAAATTCCTTCCTTCAAAGTCTCTTATGGATCTTCACCTTATTACTACTTACACCATGTTCTACCTGTTCTCATTAAGCATTCAGTTGTTGAACTAGTTGTCCCTAATGGTGGATGCTTACAAGTAATGAAAAACGTCTCATCTTTTCCAACAATCGTTTCTTTATAGAATTAATCATCGACTATATTGTGACTTATTTCTTCATGTAGGCTATACTTCCAAGTGATCTTGAAGAATATCAGAGGTTACGGTGTAGGGTTGCATTCCACGCCTTACAGTTTAGGAAAGAGGTTCAAGAACTTTCTACTAAAGTATTGCAAAGGCTAGTTTCTTGAGGACTTGTTTGAATCTTTTGTTGATTTGTTTTTTTTTTTCCTTTTCCCTGCTCATATCTTCATTATCTTTCTTTTTTTCCTTACAGGCTGAGACCTTTAGGAAGACCATTCATAGCCTATGATCCAGGGATGACAAGAGAAGCTTTGGCCTATCATGGTTGTGCTGAACTGTTCCAGGTACTTTGAAGTTTATAGTTTTGTACAGTTTGGGGAAAACGCTTTCCAAGTATATTGGGTTTATGTGTTTATTGCATTTTGGAGCTACTTGAAGGATGTGCATACCGAACTGATTCAACATAAACGAGCATGGATGATAAAACGTGGGGTTGTCAAAGGGAAGCTCTCTGTTGACTCAACCCAGCAACGCCTCGCTGGCTCATGTCCTCTGATGCCAGAAGAAGTAAGCAAGAGTATAAATATTTACGGATTTTAGTTCAATAAAGTAACAAACCCCGCATTAAATGCTTTTGGTTCTCTCTTAGGTTGGCATTCTTCTACGAGCTTATGGATACTCATGGGACACAATCATATATGTCGCCGGAGGAGAGGTTTTTGGTGGGCAGAGAACTCTAATTCCTTTGCATGGCATGTTTGAAAATGTCGTTGACAGGACTTCTCTTAGTACTGGGTGGGAGCTCGCTAAAATGTATGGGCGTGAGGCGAAACATAAAGATATCAAAAAAATGACAGCTCCGTCAGTTGAGGAAGAAACAAAGCATGATTCATTGAAGAGCACAAAACAAAGGCCTCAACCGCTCCCGCCTCCACCGGCTAGACCAAAGTACTATAACATTGAAGGTTGGTGGGGTTGGGTGGCTGAGAGTGACAATGAGCCCGAAAACACGGTTATTGAGTTGAGAACTAATGCTCACAAGTTGTTGTGGGAAGCGATTGATTACGTAGTGAGCGTTGAAGCGGATGTATTTATCCCAGGATTTGATCGTGATGGGAAAGGACATCCAAGTTTTGCTAGTTTGGTGATCGGTCACCGTCTTTATCAGTCTGCGTCTGTTAAGACATTTAGACCAGACAGGTACTATAATGAATGTTTCATCCTATTTGGAAGATATTCGCAGATTATGTTTATCCAGGGAGTAATCTCAAATTATTGCAGGAAACAAATTGCAATGCTTTTGGAAGATATACGAGACCATATGTACGAGGCGAATCACACTTGGATAACATCGGTTAGGAAGCTTCTCAAGAGAAGCATACTCGGGGGTCTAATCGAATCTTCCAAAAGATCAAAAACCTTGAGTTTTCTTTCGCATCCTGTACCCGAATGTTCTTGCGTTAGGCGCGCCCATCCGGTTTCAAACGCCTTGCTGGTTGAAGTGGATCTCGGGGTGACACGCCATTGTCCGCAGTGGATGGATGGTGTTGTAATTGAAAGATCAAAGGATAATAAGAAATTAGAGAAAGAAGAGGATCTTGATGAAGAGGACTTGTCTTCTTCGGGATTGTTCTTTGGTCACAAGGGAAATGGAGGTAACAGTAATGGTAATAATGAGACTCTAAATTCTGAAGCTAACAACAAGGAGGAAGGCCAGCTTGAAGATCAAGAAGAGCTTGAGGGCGCCGAAAGATAAGTTCGAATTATCAAAAACATAATTAGACAAGGAGCAAGTCGCGAGTACCAAGTAGATCTAATAGGAAGCTCACTTCTTGGGTTGCGGTATTTTCATGTGTTCTCAAAATAGTTTATAGCATGGTTATTAGGTTGTGTATTAGAAGAGATTTCTTTACTTTTGGTGATTAGTTTTACAATAGTTTAGTGTGTTTATGTGATATTTATGAGGATAGTTCTATGGAACTATGTATCTTTGTAACATGATAGCAGAAACAAGTTAGAAGGATTAACTCTTTTTCACTTAATTTGAATGTTAGATTTTTAGGTTGAAACGGGGGCAAACGCAGTCTTTTTCCGTTTGCCTCCTTTTTCCTTGGCTGAAAACGCCTTTGTGTGATACAACTCAAAATGATAAGAGTCCGACAATAAGAGGTGGCTCCTACCATTTGGTGACACTCTAATGGAACTTTAGCTGATAGACGGATGAGAAAAGACAGGCATCTTTTTTAGCTCTGAGCATTCATCTGACAATGTGTTAATAAATACAAAAACCAGCATGCGTTAAAACACTAACCAGACCGCGAAACACAAAGCGAGGCCCTTTGCAAAGCAATGCTGGGAAAAGTAATCAAGACCTATAATCACAATACTGGATCGTTATTATGGATCAGTATCGTTTTCTATACAATTACTTTTGAGTCACATTTCTCAAGGTACGTCTATGTAAGTCAGGAACACGGAGCAACCGCAAATTTGATTATGATTGACCTTTCTTCATCCTTATCGTAAAAGGCAATAGGATGTTTTCACATGGTTATGCCAAGCCACAACGTTTTGCCCATCCACAGTGACCCAGTCCACAACAGTTGCAGCAGGTTGTTCATACCACTCATCCAGCTGCATTCAGGTAAAACAAAATCCTGTTTATTAGCCCATTCATTCATTGCTTTAGTTTATATAATAAACCTTGGAAACTAGTGTGCTAATCTGTGGCTAGCGACTTTATTCCATAATGATCATGTCCAGAGCATTGACAACCCATCACTTATGTCATACAAGCAAGAATGACTTCATTGATTGGGGCAGGAGAATAGCATCTTGATAATAATAATGAGCTTATATAGTTATAGGAGTCGCCTACCAAACCCCACACGTATTTGCAGTGCTCCAAGGAAGTTTGAGCATTCAAGACCGCAGTCTTGAGCTCAGGCAACCATTTCTCTGTTATTGTATTATCTTGCTCTGTAGCAAGATCTAGGCAATACTTAGTTGTCCTGCACAATGTATTCAAAGAATGCATCAAGCAGAAAAATAATATGGTGCAACTAAGAAGATAATGGTGCATCATTCACACGATAGTACAGAGAAGCAAGACTTACCTTTCATATTCTTGCTGGGCATGGTAAGCATGGCTTAATAGAGCACGACCACTTTCAACTAAATCCTGATGTATATCGACCAAGTTTATTGCCTTTGCTAAATCTTCCAACACACATGCCTCAGAGCCACGGAGCCTCAAGCAGAATTCAAGAGATTCTAAAACGGATGCCAAACTTGCATCTGAACCCTCTAAACCTATATAAAAGCAAGAACTATCGGTTACAGTAAACCCTGCAGCAACGCCAAATCATGTATACATATTTACATTATATCCCATGTAATCCTAATCTATGTAGATAAACCAATCATGTAAAGAAAAGCCTTGATA